CAGATGAAGACCCTGGCAACCACAGTTCCTGCCCAGCTGCTCCCTGGAAAACCCCTTGTATGGCAGCTCCTAGCACCCGAGTCCCCGGTTTGGTCACATCACCACTCTGTCTCCCGGTGTGAGACACACCGGACTGCCATGTACTGAACCCTGGAACTCCCTGGAACTCACTTTCCTTCTCTGGCTTTCCCGTCCAATGCCCCAAATCAAAGGAAAGCCGGAGGGTGTAGAGAGAAGGGTCTGTGCATGAACACAGCGGTGGGACATGTGTGCCATCCCTTAGAGGGACACGGGAAGCACAGCCACTCGCCACCTGCCCACATCAGCGTGCAGGTGCCTCCTGAGAGGCTCCCGCCTACTTCCAGGGCCCACAGGGCAGAGTCGCTGATTTCGTGGTGAGGGCTGAATTCCGAAGTTCAAAGCCAAAGTCAGGCATCCTTAGGCCCCTGAGCTCACCACACCTCCTCCCACCGGGTCAGCGGCCGGGCATCTCAAACACCCACCTGAAATCACCCCCACCTACTCAGCTCACAAATCTGCCAGGAATTTGGCTGCTTTGGGCTTCCACCTTTTCTTCTTCTGCTGCTGCTGCTGCTTAAAATTGGTTTGCAAACCAAACGTAGTTTGTAAAGCTGCCTTCTTCCTTTCTGCTGGACCTGTATGCTTATGGGGACCCAGGGTACCCCATGGCGGGCGAGCCAGACAACCACCCGTCTCCTGCCTCCTGCCAGTTTCTTGGCATGCCTTCTGGGTACTGTGCCAGAAGGGTGGGGCGGGAGAGGGTCTGAGGTTCAGAAGGACACACCTGAGAAGACTTTGGCCACCGTGTCACAGGGAATTAACCCATCAGATCCCAGGGCACAGACAAAGGAGGAGGCCCCACTCTGGTGGATGGGGTCTTCCGAAATCGGGAAGTCCCCAGCTCTCAGCTCTGAGATGGTGGCCTTTTCAATCTCACAGTGAACCCACAGCGATAAAGGAACAATGTTAGGCACTAGAGGAAGGAGACCCTGAATGAATTAGGAGAGCGAGGTTTTGAAACCCCAGAGCTATGCTTCCCGTCCACACCTCCCATGTAAGAAAAGAGATCAGAGGACAGTATGGTGTCATAGGGACTTGAGTCTGAAGCCCAGTCCTACAGTTTACCCCGACTGACAAGCCTTAGTTCTCTAGCGTCTCTAAACCTCCTCTTTAATGCAGGGACTGTGGTACATCAACCCCACCGGACCATAAAGATTAAGAATGTATATAAAGGGCTTAGCATCACTTGTCACACAAGTAGCGTTAACTGTTGGCCATACCTGTGACTCTCTATTTGCACACTTACACACACACACACACACACACACACACACACACACGCACGCACGCACGCATGCACGATGCCCCCTGAATTAAAAGTGGGAGCTGAATGCAGGAGGCTGGTGGAGAAGCTACGAACGATTCTGCCCTTTCCTGGGGTGCCTGAAGGTCTCTGCTTCTGGGGGAATGCCCATTCTCAGGGTGCCGACCCAGGGAAAGCGGAGAGGTCAACTCACCAGACCTGGGAGATATCCCAAAGGTAGGGCACCTGCTCCTGCCCTCAGCTGGACGTCAAGGTAGGACAAAGTCCCGCTCCAGGTAGCCCCTCTAAGATCCCAGCCCAGCACCTTACTGGGGGTGCCTCTTGCTTGCTGCTTTTAAGGGAACGGCTCATGGTCCAGAAGTTTGCATAGGAGACAGGGGGGACTCATTCCCGTCCAGCCCAGACCGGCTGCCTCTTCAACTCCTCTGGCCCTTCCCTTCCCCGCCCCACTTCAAACACCCTGGGCAGTGTGTGCACAGGCCTTTAACCCCTTGGGTGCCACTGCTGGTCCCCAAGGTTCCTGAGTCTCCTGTCCTCAGCATTCCCTGGACAAAGGGCGGCTACCAGATTTCAGGCTCAAGGGGGAACAGGTAGGGGAAGCCAAGCAGAGGTCACCCTGTGGGGAGAATGTGGGGGAGCCTGGTGTCCAGGGAGCCTCCTCCCTGACTCCAACGGGGGACTCGGTGGAGCTGAGGGGGAAAGAGAACATCTCAGGGAATGGCCTACAGCTGGTAACCTACTTAACAGCAAGGTCCTACTGGGGTCAGGGAGGCCCTGTGCCCTCTCTCAAACGTGGCTTCGAAACTGCTTGTTGGCCCCTTTAAGGGGCAGGTTACGGCAAGGGAGCAGACTGTGTTTTCTGTGATGAAGGACACACAGGGAGGAGCCCTCACCAGGGCAGCCACCTCTCAGGAGAACTCCGCTTCGGCCAACAGGAACGGGAGACCAACAGCTCAGCACACACACACACACACACACACACACACACACACACACACACACACACACACACACACACGGCTCCCTCCAGCTTGTGCAAACTGGGCGCAGGATATCTGACCAGCTCCCCCATCCCTGCCCCGATAACGGCTTGGGGGGCTGACTCACCCTCACTGCTTCCCTGGGGCAGAGGACAGCGTGGGCAGACACTGGACTTCCTGATGTAATGAGGAGCCCCTCCTGCCGGCCCCGCTGGGGTTGCAAGGCCTTGGCTGGAGCTGCCAACCCACTCGTTATGGGGCCTTGGAGAAGCGACCCATTAGCCTCGTCTCCTCATCTGTAAAATGGGGGTGTCACATGAAATATGTGCGCGCGGCAACATAAATGCTGCTCCCACACTAGTCAGACAGTGAATGGGCGAGCTGCCGCCTGCTGTGTGCCCTTCACTCTGTGCTCTCCTGGCCATTAACGGAGAGGCTTAAATTAGGTTACCCATGGTCTATGCCTGCTCGACAGCTCTTACTCTGGGTGACAGGAAGACGGCTGTTGCTGCAAATGTGGGAACCGTGCCCTTCCCTCCTTGGCTGGGCCCCAAACCACGTGATGGGTGACAGGGGTTGCTTCTCACATCACAGGAACACAGGGCCAACATCTGCCCCGTTTTACTGGTGTGGGGTCCTCAGAGATCCTCTAATTAGACCACCTCATGGTTGTTCAGGGCACGTGGGTGGGGTGGAGGCATGATTTACCTGAGGTCCAACCCAGTGGGTGGTGGATGGGGGGGAGACGCCCAGCACTGCAGCCTCTGCCTGTGGTCCGTGCTAATTCCACCACCCTGAGCCTGCAGGACTTCCTGAATGGCTGCATTACTCCCAGTTCCATGGAATTTCTTAACACCCGTCTCCCATCAGCTTTCTTTAGGCAGAGTCGCAAGGCCTAGCCTGTGAAGGGGGTGGAGATCTGGGTTCCCGGCTCCTCCTGGTACCAGGGCTGGGTGGGTGTGTGGGTGTGCAGGGGCCAGCTGAAAGTTTGGATGACGTGGGAGGGACAGACAGCTGGTTTCCAGGGTGGGACCTGGAACGAGATGGCGGCTGGGCTACTCTCTATATTGCCTGTTAGGGAGGAGCTCCTCTGTTTGGTACCCAACCTCCAGGAAGGATGTGGGACCTGGGCTCACTGTCCCTCTGCCGTGCAGACCAGCAGGCAGTCGGGGACTCAGGGTTCCCACCTCCCTAGAGTGGTTCCCTGGAGTGGAGGAGGGCCGGCTGCCACTCAAATTACCTCAGGAAGTTAAGAGGGCTCAATCCTAAAGCCGACCATTCCAGCGAAGCCTGTCTGTAGATCTGAGGCTCTTATGGTCTCCAAGCCCACGACTTACTGGAGGCCCACATTCCATGCTGACTCTGAGGAAGTGGGTTTCTCCAGAGATGAAGGATCTGGTTTTGGCCCCTTTGCAAGGTGCCTGGGATACTATGTGCTGTCACAGTGCATCTCTTGCCGTCCGTCAGGTCTGGGTCCTCCCCCCGACCCCCGCAGCGTCCTCCATCCTAACCACTGGCCAGGACACAGTGTTGAGTTCCACAAGGAAAGGTAAAGACTGCCCGGCTCTCGGGGAGGGCGCACCTCCAAGTTCAGACTGAGGAAGCCACCTCGGGTCACCTCCCAGTGAAGCTTAGCCTGTCCTCTAAAGCAGGTGGCCTCCTCCTACATGTTAACTCCACATCCTGTTTCCAGTGGAGATCACACGATGGGACAGTGTGGTCCCTGCTCCGAAGACTAACACCTCACAGTCTTCATCGTCCTGGAGAGCGAGACGACACGCATGGAACCAGCCCCCTTTCCCTTCCCTACGCAGGGCTCAACCCCATGCTCTGACCCACTTTCTCCCCCATTCTAGCACGTCTCAGGTTTCCACCAGGAGCACACGGACCCAGCAAACGTACCCTCGCCCTCACCTGGGCCGTCCTGGGGTGTCCGAGGCGCAGCCCCTGAAGGAGGGAGGTGAGCTGGTGGAGGGCTACTCCACTCGCAGCTTCCCGCTGTCTCCATGTCCTTTTCATCCTTCCTGGGGCCCAGAGACTCCACTGCTGGGCGAAGGAAAGGTTAAACCGGTTGGGCAGCACCCCCATCCCCAACAGAATCTAAACTGGGCAACTTGGTGGCAGGAACAAAGCAGGCGTTTGTTGGGTTTCTCTCCTGCCTGGGAGGCTGTTCTCGACCACGGCATTCCTGGGCCGGACACGCTCAGCTCAGAGAGGCCTCTCCCCACGGCCGCCGCAGCGAAACCACTGCCTCTCCGCAGGCCGTGCTCACGGGACAGGCCGGGGCACCCAGGCACTCCGGCCCAGCCTGAGCTCAGGGCGGGGGCATGAAAAATAAGCAAGAAGGGCTCGAGTCAGGTGTAAGGCAGCCTTGCCCAGTCGGTGAATAGAGACCAGCCTGCCTGCCCGGCACCAGCTGCTTATCTGCAGACCATCTTTCCCCATCGGTCTCCTCGAGCTGTGGAGAGGGGCTACCAGGCAAGGAAGGTCTAGGAGGACACGTGACTGGCGACGAGGACAGGGCCAGAAATTCCGGGTGGAAGCACGGGTGCTGAAAAGGGGGCAGGTTCGGGTGGGAACGGGGCCCACGAGCCCACAGCCATGAGGCAGGGACTCAGCGCTCAGGCCTCAGCTCCAAGCTGTGCCCACCCTGCTGGTGAGGAAATGGACACGTCGGTGTGGCATTTGTTTTTATTAGAAAACCCCATTTGGTAAGCACTTCCCTAACCCAGAGCAGAGACTGGGTAGCCCCCAAGAGTCCCACAGCTTTCGTTTTACCCCTCTCCCTCTTCTGAGGGCAGGGCAGGAGACCGGGCTGGTGTCAGGCAGTCTTCAGAGCCCCTCCTGCGCCCCTGGGAGAGCATCACGCTGCCAGCAGCACACCCCACAGCTCCTCGGGCGCGCCAGAAGGCCCCGTAGGCTCCAGGCGGCTGCCGAAGGCAGTCCTGTTTGTATGGCTTCGGAAGGGAACCCAGGAGGCTCTCTGGACTCCTAGGCCTGGTCCTTCACTCTGGTTGACAGCAGGGCGGCATCCAGGAGGCGGCCAGGGGCTAAGGGCGGGGGCTGCATCTGAGGTACCCTCTGGAGTCTAGAAAGCACCTGGATTTCTCGGGAAGGGAGGGCTGTGGACACCGCACTCAGTTCTTCTTGGCTTTGGGAGTGTCGTATTTCCGCTTGCTGGAGTACCACAAGAGCAGGGGGACGCCGATGGAGGGAAGGGTCATGACCCCAAAGGCCGCCCAGTCCAGCTGCGGAAGACAAAAGGCCTGCTTAGGATGGGGGGAGGGGGGCAGGGCGCAGGAGGACCAGAAAGGGAGCAGCCCCACCCCAGATTCAAGCAGCACTTCCGCTGTGACCGCTCCTCAGAGAACGGCTCTCTGAAGACCAACCCACCTCGGAAGCTGTGAGGCCAAGGCCTCACCTGACCTAACCCAGACCGGGAGAGAAGGTTTTCCCTCCCAGACCATCTCTGAGGAGGAGATGGCCACGTCCTGCCCTGACAGTCTAGCCTCTGTGCTCTAACCCCACTTCCGCCCCCACCAAGCCCCCATTCCTCCGCCTCACGGCTGCCCTCCGGCCTCGTTGGACTACTTGCCATTCCCGGACTGTGCCGGGCTTCCCGAGGCTGGGAGCTGCTCCTTCTTCCTAGGGTGCTGGGCCCTCCTGACCGCCTCTCTGACTGGTTAAACGTCACCTCCTCCAGGAAGCCCCCGACCCTGAGACCAGGCTGGACGTTCCTGCCACACGCACCTCCCACACCTTGTAGATGATCTGTCACTTTCTCTCCCCCTGACTTGTTCTGAGCCCCTAAGATCTTCAATGGAAAGAACTGTGTCTTGGTCACCATTTCCCATAGCAAAGCATAGCAAGAAGCACTTAATTAGGAACTTCATAATTATTCACTCAATGAATGAATAAACGAATTTCCTCAATCAGTGGGTTAAGCCAATCTTCAAAAAAGTCTCTCCTAGACCACGGCCAAATTCCCACTTCACCTTCCCGATGCTTTGGACTCTCTGAATCTAAGCAGATAGTCTTTTAAATCTCAAAATTGACCCAGGGATCCAAGGTGGGGCTCTACTCGAGGCTGAGGCAGAAAGGGGCAGTGTTCTGGTTCGGGCAACTGTGATCTCATTACCAAAACTCTCTAATCATGGTTAAATCAGGGTATCTGATGGCTGTATCAGACACCAAAAACCAGATATGGCAAGAACCAACCAATGACACAAATCGTCTAGGAAGCTAAGAAGTCCCAGAAGCAGAAGGGTGTTGTAATCCCAGGGGGATGATAAGAAACCCTGTGCAGCTTACAAAGTGGGGCGAGAATCTTCGGTCAAACTCTCGCTGAGCCAGGATGCCTCCCTGCCCCGGGGCGCTGGTGAAGCCAATCTGGAAAGAAGAAAAGAAGGGCGTTAGTTAGGGCAAGTCCCACTTTCGCATCCGAGAAGGGGCAGGCCCAGCGGGCCAGGTTCTACGGTTCGATTCTTAAGAGCTTCAAAATGAGGAAACGCTTCTGAACAAAGGCAGGGTGGATGACTCTCAGTTCGCTGTTAAGGAGAAAGTTTGGAGCCTGGAGACCTGACTTTATGAGCATTTACTAAACAAGGCAGGCCAGGTATGCAGCTGGACTCCAAACCAAAGCCTTCCCCCTCAGCCTCAGACTCTGGAAAGACTTGCTCACCACCTCTGGGGGCCAAGTGTGGAATGGAATGGCTTGCGTTTGGCAGTCACTCCTTATTCCTCAAGTGGAAATACTCTTCTCAGATGAAATGAGCAAGATTCTGAAACGTAGAAAGCCCTATCGAAATGCACATTACTAGCAGAGGGCTGCGCCTGGCCCACATTCCTTTGTCATGGAGAGGAGGCCAAGACTCGGAGTCCACAGCAAACAACTTTGCTCTAAAGTGGCAGCTGTGCCTTTGACTTTGGGTCTTTTAACCCATCAAACACCAGGTAGAACCAAAGAGTCCAAAAGTTGGTTCTGAAATCAGAAATGACCCAAGTGTACCAGTGTGGTTAGGATGACAAAAATATGGTTCCACAGGCTTATTAAAAAAGAGCATTCAGAAAGTGCACTGAATGTGAGAGGATCTTACGTTTCTTTTCGTTCTGTGGTTGGCTCTTTCGGTTCCTTCCTTACTGGCACCTCCCTAAGTGACCTACAGCCCATTTGTATGGTCCTGTCTGAGGCCTTTATAAACTCATGACCTAAGTGTCTTAATCTTCTTGGTATTCCCTAGAGTCCGGCACACTGCAGGGGCTCAAGAAACGTCTGTTGACTTTACATCATCAATCAAAAGACTGTTTATTAGTGTGTTTCTATTATACATGTGGAACAGAGAGCTATCTAAGGCACGGTCCCTGGCCTCAAGGAGTGTGTAATTAAATTGGGAGGCGGGGGTGGGGGAAAGGCCTACACCTGAGAAAGAGAGCTACTGAGGACAGTAAATAATTAAAAGTTCAAGCGGCACAGACTCTAAGCTGCGGAAGTTTAGACGCAGACGACGGGTGGTGATTGAAAGACCGAGGAGGAAAGAGCAGGAGGAGATGTAACAGCAGAAGCCAGAAATGCAGAGTGGCAGCGCACGGCTGGGTCTCGAGAAGGCCTTGGATACTGAAGTAAAGGAGAGAGCAGCTTACACAGAGAACAAGGGCAAAGTGGAAACAACAACATGGGTGGGGGGAGGCAGGCAGGAAGGGACTTGGTCTCGTTAGCACAGTTTTTTTTTTTTTTAGCTGAGCCATCCTGCTACCTGTTGGCAGCTCAGCGGCTGCTCAGCTCGGGCTGGGAATCGAACTGCTGTTGCTCAGAGCTCAAACTCTTGAGCGAGCTCTTAACCAACTGAGCCACTCAGCCGGCCCTCGACTTGGTCTCGTTAGGATGGAGGGTCTTTTCAGGTCGAGTGGCAGAGAACAGCTGGACACTGGAGGCTCCTGAACGACAGGCAGCAAAGCTCGGCCTTGGAGCAACAAGCAGGAGCGTTCTAAGCAAGGGAAAGACATAGAAGCAGAGGAGACGGGGAATCATGTGACAGCAGCACAGAGGAACTGGAAGGGCGAGAACGGCAGTAAATGGGGCAGTAGATGACACATTCCAAATTAAAAGCAAAGCAGCAGGAACGGGGAGGAAGGGGCTGCCGCAGTGCTCCCCTCCCGTCCATTTCCATCGCTTCATTCTCGGGCTCGACACTTGGCAACGCACTTCCTTCCTACGGACAACAGCCCAAGTTTCTGATCCTTCTTATCTTCCCCCGAGTTTAGCGGCTGCTTTGAGCATTTTCTGCAAGGACTTTCAAAGGAGAGCAGACCTGAGAGCCGTCCAGCCAGGGGTCTGGGAAACTCACCACAACGGGCCCATCCTCCTGCGCCAGGTAAGTAATGGTTGCTGAGGTGAAGTTGAAATAGCCAGCCTTGAGGGGACGCAGGACCACGGTGTGGGACACATTGCTAGCACTGGCCCACGAGTTAAGGAAGGGAAACAGATGGAGCGCAAGCTGCAACAGCCTTTCAACCTGTGGACCAAATGCACCATTCACAAAAAGAGCTGCCGACCCATGTGGTGGTGTCATACTTGCAATACTCTGCAAGAATAATACACGGGGGCTTTCTTGCAAGCCTAACGTGTGGGGCACAATATGATGTCTTTCTAGCCAAGTTTGAAGGCTCAACGATGCACTCAGTATCAAGGTTTTTGAAGTGAACTTTCAAAGTAATATTATGTCGTGGATGAAAAATCAGTCACTTAAGCTCACAGAAAATCTTTCATGGATTATAACTGAAGAAAGTAATTACAAAATAAAAAAAAAACACAGAGAGAACAGGCTCTCATCAGAATCTAAACATACTTCCATTCACAAGGGAAAAAAAACACACTCAGGAAATAACAGACAGATCACAACAAGAGACTCACTGACTAAGTAAAGAGGCGTTAGGAGCTCACCTGTTAGCATCCAACTGAATTTCTTTTAAAAGCACCTTATACATCCTTGCGCGGCCGAACATCTTTCTAAGCGCCTACATCTTCCCAATAGAGTATGTTTTAGGGCCTTATAACCTGAACTCCAGTAACCTCCTTCCTCAGGTCCACCCTAGATCACAATCACACAGCTGTCACCAGTGTCTCTCTTGCCCCGTCTTACAGAGAGAGCTGACAGAAGAATGGCCACGCACACCTGCACTGTTTGCAGGGAGCCTGCTGCTTTGCTGGCAACGTTCCCTCCCCCGCTGCCAGCCTTCATCACCCAGTGTCAAGAGGATACGGGGCAATCCGGTCCCATTTGACGTTGAGCATTCCAGAAACAATGCCAAAGTCCTCCGGCGGGAAGGAGTCGTCGGATAATTCCACATCTAACGCGGCACTAGAAAACGGAGGCAATTGAAAGGGTCAGAAAGTTGTGGACACGAAACTGAAGCAACCAGCAATTGAGTCTGCCCGCCTGCCCACAAAACTCAGAACTACAGAAGACAGATTGAAAGTCACACGGTAGCTTGTTGCACAGAAGAATCCAGGTCAAGGGCTGGATTCTATGGCTCCAAGACACCAAAATACACAGGTATCTAGGAAGGAATGGGCCCAAACCCATTCCTGCCCCCGTTTTCTCCATGTGTATGTGTATGTATGTGTGCGTGTGCGTGTCTGTGTGTGTGTGTGTGTGTAAAGAAAGGAGTAGGAGCCAGATACATATGACAGACAAAATTCAAGGGAACAAAATGAAAAAACGCAACCAAAATGCATACAGGCTAATGAGACGAAGCAGGGGCGCTAACCCGGGAGGTAACAAAGGACCCCACATTTTCTGCCTTCTCCTCGTCCTCTCCCTGTTTCACCACAATGCCTGCAGCTCAGGTGAGAATGTCCTTATGCTCCAAACTTAGGTACAGCAGTATATTCCTTCACTCACGACACCTGTTGCTGGAGGACTCCCAGAGATGACTCCCCTACTGGTCCCTGTTCCCACCTGGGGCATCTAAGAAGCCTGAAAAGGACCCCACCTGGAGCCCAGAGCCTCCTCACCTGGAGCCAACATTGTAGATGTTGTACTGCAAGGTCAGGTCCCGGCCCTCCACCGCGTATCTGTTCAGCAGTGACTTGGAGGCCAAAAGCCGGGCTCCTTCCTCTGCTTGAGTGACAGCAAGTAGCGCCAAGGCCACCAATGCCAGCAGCCTCATCTGTGCAGAAAAAAGCCAAGTGAGGGGTCAATCCAAGCCTGTACAATTACCAAAACCTCCCTGACACGCCTTCATGACAACGTCTACCATGAAAAGCAGCAGCCCGTTCCACAGGGCAGTGCAGAAGCCGCGGGCGCAGCAGACCCACGCGCGAGACTCCTACCGTCTCCGCCCGGCAAGCCCGCGGAAAATCGGTCTAAGCGCCAGCATGTCCGCGGCCCTCTTTCTGCCGGGGGGCCCGGAGTGCTCCCCAGCTGGTGGGGTCATCTGAGATGACAGCATGTGGCCAGAGCTAGGGCTCTCCTCTCTCTGGGGCCCGATTTCGGCCCATCTCGGACCTGCGGCCGCCTCCCGCTTCCCTTGACACGGGAGTCCCCTCGGCTGCTGTCTTCCCGCTGCCCTCTCGCCTTCCGCCCAGCTCCCCTGGGACCCCCACCGCGCGCTCGCGGGGTGCTGCCCGCCACATCCCTCCCTGGCTGGGTCCCGCCGGGGGCTGTCCGCTCTGCCCCTCCCCCCCGCCACGATGACACGTCCTCCCGCGGCGCCCTCGCGCCTGCCCGCCCTCCCCGAGCTGACCCTCAGCCGCTGGGTGACGTGCGGACACGAGACGCTTCCCCCTCGGGCGAGCAGCCCTAAGCCCTCGAGACTCACCGCGCTCATCCCAAGAGCCTTTCCGGAGCCACCAAGACCGGAAGCGAGCGTCAGCAGCCGAGAGACCGGAAATAGGCTCTGGCCGGAAACGTCGGTGCCCCGCCGCACGCCTTCTGGGAGTTGTAGTTCTGGGACGAGCCCCACCTTTCCCTTTGTGGTGCCCACCCGCCTCGGGGACGCGAGGCTCCTGAGACAGGCTTGGGTGTGCGCCCTCCACGCTTTTGTTACTCTGGCCTCTTCAGTGGCCTTTGAAGCTGGCTTGCCCTTATATAGTGCGTGACCAGCCCCTGAGTAGGTGCTTTGCGCAGCTGGCACACCTAGAGGTTTAGATCATCTATAATAGAATGTCGAGTGTACTGTCAAACTAGGCATTGGAGAAAAGCTATGTCTCAGGGCTACCAGCCTTCTTTCTATTTCCAGGTGAGACACATAGTCATCCCCTACACCCAGGAAGTCACCAAGCCGTGAGCTTTATTTAGAAGCCCTGTGAGGTGCCAAAAAAGTAAACCCTTTCTTCTCCATCCCCACTATAACCGCGTTGGTCCATCCTCGGCACTATATGCTGTTTTTACTACAGTGGCCTCTCTATCTGATGTCTTTCCCTACACCTTTCAATCAGCTATCAGACAAACTTCCCCGAGCAGCATTTTGAACAGTAGACTCTAAGTGCCGAGGTCCGACTGTGACGTTAGGCAGTCATGAGTTCAAGCCTCTCTTCTGTCACTGCTTAGGTAACCTTGAAGCAAGTCTCTATGCACTTGACTACTCTAGGTACCTCATACAAGTGGAATCATAGAATAAATTCATTTTAAGTGTACACAAATAATACATTCTTACAGTGTCATCAAAAAAAGCAAAGAATGCTGAAATAGTGGGTACAATGTCAGGATGCAAACTTAGATGTCCAAGAAATGTTAACTTCCTTACTTTTGTATAATCAAGCCCAATTCTGTTTCCAGCCCTTTGCTTATCAAGTAGCAAGAACTTAATCTCTGTTAACGCAGGGACCCCCCCGGCCATTTTCTCCAGAGGTGCCTCTAATTTTATAGAGGGCTCCTGATGGGCCAGGGGCATGAGGAGAGGGGATCAGGGACGTCTGGTGTTTGGTCATCCATACTTTTCCTGTCTGGCATCCAGTGAGACATCCGATCCTGCGTGCTCACAGGCTGTGAGCTCACACAGAGCACAGCGGCACCCCCTCAGCCTCACCCCTCAGCCTCATCTACCTTTTCACACCCCTTCGGAGTCACAGGGAACTCAGCTGGGCTTTTCAACACCTTTCACCTCTTCCTTGCTACTCAAATTCATTCCTCAGCTCTGCACACCAAACTGGACCTGGGTGAGTGGAAATCTCGAAGGATGTCTCAGACCCCACCCCTGGGCACACCCCAGTGTTGGCTCTCCTGGGCTCCGCCCCTGTGCCGGGGTGTGGAGAAAGTCTGGCGTGGTCCATGGCATTCTTTGGGAGCAGGTGCAAGACCCCTCTTACTCTTGGATTCACCAACCTATTGGGGTCCTTTCTCTCCCCCACCCCCAAAACTATGTCATGTCAGAGCTCAGGGTGGGGTGGCCAGCAGGGCCTCCGAGCTCTTCTCAGGGATTTATCCACGGATGTCTAAGATTCCCTCTCTCCCGTTCTCTCCGCTTTCTTTCCTTCCTCCCCAGTTTGGACAAACTCTATCTAGCTGAGATCAGTTGGGTGAAAGGATAGATGGGATGGAAAACCGGCTCTAGTATTCCTTCAACAAAAATGTACTGATCACTGTCCTATGTGCCAGACACTGGTCTAGGCCCTCGTGCAACTGCAGTGGCCCAAACAGACAAATCTCCCTGCCTTTCATTCAAAGGCAGTACTGTCCACCAGAACTTTTGGAGATAATGGAACTGTTCTGTAATATCTCCGCTATCCAGTATGGTAGCCACCAGCCACATGTGGCTATTGAGCAATTGAATTGTGACCGGTGAGACTGGGGAATGGAATTTCTTAGTTCTATTTCATTTAAACTAATTTCAGCTTAAGCTTGAATAACCATAGGTGGCTACTGTATTGGACAGCGCAGTTCTTGTAATATCCTGACACATCTCTGGCCGTGGGCTTTGAAATCCCAAAGCCCAGGGTTCTGGTACCCGGAAAGCCTTTTCTCTGCTTTTCTTCTGGAACAACACTTGCCTCCATCACTGGGAGAACTCAGGCACAGCTCCCAGCGAGTCCTCGAGAAGTGCGGGGATCTGGGCTGACTCCACTGAATGCCTCAACCCAGGGACGACACCATCCTGGTGGCAGGTGCGACTAGGGGAACAAAGCACAGGCTGCTCACCTTCCGTCCTTCAAGCTTCCCAACTCATCCATGGGGAAGGAAACTGAAATCCCCGTTTGAGGGCTCAAAGACATACCACAGTAGGAGAGTGTGGTATGAAGGGCTCTGTGTCCCCCTCAGCCCCTTCGCCCTTTTGTTTCTCCCCACCCTCATCTCTAGGGATGGGGAGCTATTTTAGCATAGAGCACAGCATCTTTGTGCTAGAGAGGGTCTCTGTGAGCAAGAGAGCGATTTGTTGGTTGGTAGGTTTGTAGGTGCCACTTTGAAGAAGACAAGTTAGAAACAGAGATCTCCCCTACCTCACGACAAGGGGCAGCAGCCGAAAGAAGCAGAGCCCAGTGGAGGGAAAGGGAAGGGTCCTTTGTGAGTAGGGACTTCCAAGTGTCTGCTGCAGGCTGACTCCAGAAGGCAACCTTTGGGAAGAAGTGAGTGCACATACGTCCCACCTCCCAGGCCAGGAGTCTCTGAGTGTTAATGACCAGCTCCTCACGGGTCTGTTTTCTTTCAGATACCGAGCCGTGCCCATCTGTTCGTTCTTCCAGACACAAGGGGACACCTGGCAGTGTCGTCGGGCCCCTGCTCTGTGCTCCCATTCGGCCACCGCGCCCACAACGCTGTAGTGAGATGACTTGTTGCCACGTCTGTCCCCTCACAGGATTGTGAGCATCTAGAGGGCAGGGACACACCCAGAGTTTGTATCAGTTTGAGTGGCTACCCTATAAATAAATCCTCACGGGACAGAACTAAACTGGGGCAGGAGGAGAAAATCATTGTTACTGACCATGCAGGAGTCAGGTTTGGCTGGAAACAGGAGAGGCTGGAAAAGAAGGCCGGGTCACAGAGCCCAGAACACTGCCTAGCACACAGTAGGTGCTCAATAACTGCCCCCACACGCCATTGTTTTATTTTTGGAAAACGTCAGATCTATAGAAACTTGCAAGAACGGTTTAATTAATATCTGTCTACCTTTTAGGGGCCGACGGAGTGGCTCAGTTGGTTAAGCAAGCTCTGAACAACAGGGTCGCCGGTTCGATTTATGGCCCAATCTGAGAAGCTGCTGAGATGCCGCCAGGTAGCAGGATGACTCAGCTAAAAAAAAACAACACCAAAAACCTGTCTACCTTTTACCTGTCTACTAGATTTGGTAGTTGCTAACATTTTGCCCAATTCCTTTATCTCTCTCCATAAATTACTGCATGTATGGATGTTATATATGTTATACATAGGTGCATACACTACCCATTCACACATACATTTTTTGAACCATTTGAGAGTAAGCTGCACATCATGACACTTCACCCCTGAGCTTCAGCTCGGATCTCCCAGGCACAAGGACATTCTCATAACCACAGTGACATTACCACGCCCAGGAAGTTTGACATGGCTCTAATGCTATTATCTAACATATGGTCCATATTCAATTTCCCCCAAAATGCACTTGATGACCTTCAAAAACAAATCTAGGACCATGGCAGGATCAGGTATTGCAGCTTGCATTTGATCGATAAATGCGTGCAGGCGAAACCTAAGAAGCTTCTCCAGGGAGGTGTGGAGGGAAAAGAGAGATGCGTGGAAGATGGAACCTTGGCTCCTTCCTCCCCACACGGAGTGGATGGGAGGCGGAAGGGGAGAGAAGGATCAGACACAGCTCTGGTTCTTCAAACGGACACTGAAGAGTCCCTTCTAAGCCCGGGATGCCTTGAAGTCTCAGACAGACCCGGCCGCCGGAACTGGGTGGTGGACTATTTTGTGCTTCCTGCTGAATTTCTCTCCAGCACATGCGCATTCCGGGGTCGATTCTGGAATCTACATCTGCTATGTCCTGATGCAACGTCGGGGTTTTTGTCCCATTTTCAAAATTTGACCACAGTCTCCCTTCTTAAGCCCAGTCTTTTTTTTTTTTTTTAAGATTTTTATTGGGGAATTGGGGAAGGGGAACAGACAAGTTGCTGTCGTTTTGTTCTTCAG